TAAAATGTTATTTCTTTCGGTTAAAGTAGAAAACATGTTCCCGATGAGTACATCTGTATAGTGACATTCGTAGAAGTTAATTCCCTCTAACGTCCCTCCACTAGTACTCGTTTAGCAGAGCTTGTATATGTAATGGTAACATGGGAATTTTGATTGTTTCGAGCTAAATCTGGATCATTCTTCGGCGCTAATGTTTGACGAAGAGTTATCATCGTTGATGCCAGGTTTAGAGACATGAATAGATTAGTCCTGTTGTGTTTGGTGGGAAAACGAGTACGAGTTTTCGACGAGGAGAGGAGTAAAGCTAAAAATCTGCTGAAAATTACGAAAGCTGTTATTAGCTGTGCACGTGAGGATCAAACAGGATCAAAGGATCACGTTGCCTTGAACTGACAAAGAAATAGACACACGTCAGTATTGGATACTGGTTTCAAATCTGATGTCTTCAACCAAAGCAACCGATATCAAAACATTTTCCTAGATGCGCTTTAAGGGATAAGTTTCGACAAATACTGCTTCTTTATTGAGGGTATTTAGAGAGTGGAAAGACAAGGAGCGGCGTTGACATTTCCAGGATTGAACACAGAACAAAAATTTACACATTTGACGATTTCAAGTTTCCTATAACTCTTTATTACACTTCACGGAGATCGTCAAAGCGGAATACTGCAAAGTCCTTCAAATATATATTTTTTATCCGCGGTGATTGTCAAAAAGGAGCCAATCAGTTAATTTATTGTTAATTTATTATAAGTTTGCAATTCTACTGAAACCCGGACTGTGTATAACTACTTCAGTTATTTTCTTAACTAAATTGAAATTGGAATAACCGAGTCTTTCCTTCTGGAATCTTTTTCTACTCTCTCATCGCCTAAACGGGTTATTTTTGTTATATCGACCTAAAATGGATCAAAGTTTGATTTCAAAACATTTTATCAGATAGTAATGGAACTTATTTCTCGTAAAGGGTACAGGAAATAAACGGGAAACGAGACTCATCTCTTCTTAGCGGAAGTAATAGAGTGTTTTCAGTGTCCCGCAGTGAAAAAATAAATTTGAAACCCAACAGCGAAAGAAGCCAAGAAAACGAAATGTTACAGATAGGAGAACAGTCATGACCTGCACTGGAGGCGTATTTTGGGCGGGCGAAAGCTGCTTGTTTATGTTCGTATTGTTATAAGCGCCATCTTTGATTTTATGACGGAGGAAGATTAGGGAAATTAAAAATAGTAACCCTTAGGATAGGTGCTAATTTAAAGCATTTTCACCTCTCTTCGGGAGGTTCAAAATTGCGTTTTCGCGAGCAAAAACATTGGCGCGCCCGAAGAAACGCCTGCACAGCAGGCTATAGGAGAGTCATAAATATACAACGAATCCAAGTCTCTCGTCTGTGCGGCGCATCGTCGTTAGTTATCATCCGAAAAGTTTCGCGCAATTTTCAAGCTTTGTATGGAGTGTACCAACATGGGATGCTCAGAAATACATTTTGTACAGCTTGAAATATTAAACTGCTGAAAATCATAAGGAGAGAGCTTTTCTTTAACCAGACATCACTGCCGAGGCAACCACAGTGTTGTTGCGTGTTGTCAGGAACTGTGAAAATTAGGAACTTCAAAATTAGGAAACTCCTACAAAGATTTATTCCTCGGTTGCCTTCAACCTGGTGTAAATTTGTAAATTTAAAATTCAAAAGGCCTCGCTGTTTTGATTTTAGAGTTTCAAAAGTTTGATGACCTTCTGGTGAACACATGTGGACGAAGAACAACTGGGAACGAGTTCTTTGTACTTTGTCCCAGTGCCTCTCTGACGCCTGACTGATTTCAACTTGTTCAAAACCGCTCCCTCATGATCAACAGCAATGTGAAGCATATTCGACATTTTCATCAAAGTTGCAATGCCCAGAAAACATTGTAATACCTTTGGAAGGTGTTCTTATGGTATCGATGTCCATTATGATTTCAGAACATCTTCAAAGTGGACTGGAATTTGCCAAATTATGAAGGAAGATTCCGACTTTCGTTCTAGTTGACGCTTATTATATTTCCTCGCTAGAGAACATTAACTACACACTATGCTGTATATTTTACTACCTGCACTTTATAATGTAAGTACTATTTTGAAGAGAACTTTGGAATACTTGGCCATTCATAGTTAATTTCTCATTGTGATATCCTTAAAATGAACTTATACATTTATGTATGCTCGTACATTTTGGACAGCAAAATGGGGACAGACGGTCTGTTAATTTGCCGTGTCTTCATTTAGCTTTATTAACTTACATGTAAATGCATTTTATAATGAAATATAGTGTATAAATACATCTACACTTACAGATATGTACATTGTAAGTTATGTACATTTTAAAGCAAAGTGCCATTCATGTCAAATGACATTAAAATCCCGTAAACTTCAGCTTATAGAGGGTTTTCACTCACGTGGCCAGCATCTTTCCAAATTTATTGGAACAAAAGAAACCATTTACATAAGAAAAGAATTCAACTCCCACAGGATTGGTTTGGGACACCAACATGGCCGCCGTTTTATTGTTTTGGGACACCAATATGGCCGCCGTGACGTCATGTGAAAACGCTCCATACGCCTTGGGCCTACAAATCTTCAAACGGGGTGTTAGGAGGGCTTATTAATGGGGTGGTTATATCCAAGGGGCCTTATAACTAGAATAGAAAAAAGAGCTTCACAACAAGCTACAGGTATGGCAATGCTGATCAAAATTCTTTTTGCATTTACTGGTAAACCTCAAAATCTCATAAATCAAATTCATTTTAATACGTTTGGAGGGAGCTCATATCCAGGGAAGCTTATAATCAGATATTTATTTTTTTGTTTACCAATGGCTGTGGGGGTTGGGTGGGGGGTAGTTCTTATAACATTGAGAGCTTAGTAGAGGTAGTTTATATTAAGTGGCCTAATTTATTTTCTGCATTCAATATGATGAGTGATTGGATCCGCTGGTTCAGTTTCACCGAGGGTGTTAGAGGCTTTTGCTGTTGATTTTTAATGATGATCTTCCATGGACTTGCTTGCATTTCTTTATTGAGTTTTGCAACTGCCATGGCAAGCCCAAATGTAACAGTGCTCACTATTTACATAATTTAATAGTCAATTAAGTCCCCATTTTAGTAAATTCGTTTTTATTGTATTTATTCGATTCAGTCTAGCTATGTTCATTCAGTTCAATATAAAAAATAGGCAGCCCCAAAATGTGGAATCTGCAAATGGAATCCAGAATCTGAAGCTTGAAAAGGGGATCAAAAATGGAATCCAGAATCAAACAGGACTGTTCCTCAAAGGCAAAGATAAAAAGAATACTAAGTTTAGACTCTATATTAATTTTTTTTTCTTTGTGTTGTTTGCTTCGAACTGTCACCTCGGTGCTTAACAATAAGCATTTTAGAAGGTTAAACAAGAGAAATTAAACCTGGGAAATTATGTCCTTGAAGAAATGATTGCCTACAACCATGAAAATGTTCATATATTTCCACTATGCTGTTGATTTACTCACCTTTTAGAGACATTTTAGAGACTTTTTCACTGTCATTGCTATTTCCAGCATAATTTTGTTTTGCACAGAGCATTTCCCAAAGCTCATAATTTTTTAATGATAAATGAAATGCCTTTTAAAAATCAAATGAAAAATGCCTCAGTTTGAGCATGATGTAATATAAAACTCTGGCCAGGAAAATTTCTTTGTTCTTTTTTCTCTTTATCTCTTCTTCATTCTAAACAATATTTCCTCAGAAATTCATCCTTCATGATTCCATGTTATAGTGCTGACCTAAAAAAATCATTCATCTTAGATTCAATTCAGTTTTCTGATATTCATTTCCGCAGGTATCCATCCAATGCTTGCTCTCATTTATTGAATCTTGAAAATTGGGTCAAAGTTTAAAAATTTTGGGGTGCATATTTTCCAACAAAGCTCAGTAGACTTACAATTTGCAGTGCATTTTCACTATTGTAGAAATATTTTAATTTATTTAGAAATCATATTTCTTTTATCATCTAAAGGTAATCAAATCAGTGGCATTTGTGATTGTCCTTGCTAATTAAGCAGGTAATCTTTATATTGTTCTCCCCAGTGCATCAACCTGGTCATGGTGTATGATGTTCAGTGGCGATTGAGTTCTGATCAAGTACTTCTACAACTGTTTCACACATGCTTAATTGACGAAGAAACTAGTAATTTTCTAAATTGTCACAAGCTTTACCTCTACCCCAATCACCATATTATAAATTCTACCATTTTTTTGAAATACCTAGTACCCCACGAATATTTAATCCTCTTCCCAGTGCCCAATACGTGAGTATGCACATACTACGGCTACCTAAAAAAGTATTGAAGATCATAAAAACTAAGCAAAAAAGGAAAATGAAGAAAAACAAGAACAACAACGACAGAAAATAAGGAACAGAAGGCAAAAACTGTGTAGTTGCCCAAGTGACTTTTTATGCAAACAAAAACAATGTTTTTCTGTCGATTGAAGGCAGTTGGGGTACTCCATATTAAATCTCTGCTTCATAGTAATCGGCATTTCAGATTCTTCCAGGGACCTAAATGTATGCTTGCTCTTTTATGGGTGTTACATCTATTTTCTAATCGGTTCCAGCTTCTTTTTCGCTTCTTTCTCTTTGTGGCTCTTGATGTTTGAGATTTTGAGACAAATAGTTTATTTTACTGCCGAGTGTTAAAGTGGCTGTTTTTGTAAGAGAAAAGGTGCTCGCTCATACTTCCCTAACAAACGCTAGATCAGTTTTCCTGTGAACGAGCACCTTTTTTTTTAGGTAAATGCAACCGGAGCTCCCTTCTGACAACCACTTGGTTATTCTTTATTCATCTATACATGCAGTAGTTTCCTTTCTCCTTGAATACAAATGAGTAGTTCTTGTGAAATTATCTTCTTTTGGTGGTGAAAAACAAACAAATTATGCTAGGACGTCCCCCCCCCTCTTTTACATCTTCCACTTTTTTCCTGTTGCGTTTATTTACTCGTTACTGTGTCTCTCTCTCTCTCTCTCTCTCTCTCTCTCTCCCTATCTCCTCTTTCCTTTTTTTTGCTCTTTTTTCCTCTTTTTTTTTTTTTATTTTTTTTTTTTATTCCTACTTATTTTCGTTTTCTTTTTTGTTTTTTTTTTTTTCTTATTTTCTTTTACTTTATTAATGTTATTTGCTCACTAATCTCACCATTTCTCTAACCTTGACTGTGAGCGTCCCCCCCCCTCTTTTTTCTCTCTCTCTTTTTTCTTTTTGTGTTTATTTTTTCGTTTCTGTGTCTCTCTCTCTCTCTCTCTCTCTCTCTCTCTCTCTCTCTCTCTCTCTCTCTCTCTCTCTCTCTCTCTCTCTCTCTTTATTTGCCTTTCTTCTATATAACAAATTATGTACTTTATGCCCACTTTATCTTCTTTCTTTTTGCATGAAATTGCCGCTGGTTGACCTTTTAGAAAAGGGACATATTTAATCCTTAAAGAGTAGTAGGTAAACAGCGAAATTGGCAGTCGATTTTCCCCAAAACGTTACCCTTGTTTGTAAGTGTAACTCTGTTAGGATTGGTCAGAAAATATCCAAAACGGGGTATCGGTGGAAAAATCTATATTTGATGACGTTGTTGTTGACAATTTTTAAAGCTAAAACTGGCTTTACGGAAAATATGCTACTGAAGGAAAATATGCATGGTTCCATCTGGAACGAAAACGACCAAAGCAGTATTCAAAAGGTTAAACAGTGGAATTGTGACTAATAGTTCTTCTCGGGCAAAGCAGCTTATAACAAAGTGTGACCTTAAGAAATCAGTATTTTCTTATGAAGTCTCAGTAGGAAAATCATGTTTGACGTTGTGAGGATGATAGGCTCGGCCAGTATATTGGAGAAAAGTATTTCAAGTATCCGTAAATGCTTCTGGACATTTTTTCTTATTATTTTTAAGTGATACAGATTTAACAGCAAACCGTTTCTATATGCGCTTAATTACGTTTCTTCACATTACAAAGCTAGCACCGTTTGCTTTTATTCAAGTCCAGTTAACCAAATAAACGAGCTTACTGCTGTGGTTTTGGCACTTCCTCAATGAAGATACGACTCATTGAATGCCAACCAGTAAGGGAGTCTGCAAGCTTGTCGCCGGTGACGCACTTTCCAACTGAGAGTGCAACTCGCACTGTTCCCTTTTTTATGTTATGACAGTGGCCTTCAATGTGTCTGTGACGGTGATTTGCGTTTGTTTCCTGGTAGAATGCACCGTCGGTAGTTCCAGGAGAGCTACACTCATTGCCATTGAAGGTGAAATACAACCGACTACAGCAGCCGTCGCATGTTGTCGTTTTAAAGTTCCCAGCAAAGTAAACATGGAGAACAGTGTCTGCGTACTTCTTCATGAAGGTACAGTTCTGCGTGAAAAAGAAAGAAAGAAATTATTCACTATATTCTGAGGGGAAAACAAATTGTTGCTTTGTTGGGAGTTCGTAAAATAGATTTCTTCACGAACTAAAATGACGTGACCTACATGAATCTCTCCTGAATCCTTGTCGTCTCGTCTTTTCCAGACACACTCCTTCCAGTTCATGTATGAAGCCAGTCGAGGAGATCCACTGTCGCCTTTGTCCCCCTGGTCTCCCTTTTGGCCTGCAGGACCCTGGATCCCAGGTTCTCCCTTCACCCCTTTCATTCCATTTGCACCAGGTGGTCCCTGGGGCCCAGTCTTCCCTGGGGTGCCCAAGTCGCCTTTGGCTCCGTCTCGTCCATCACGGCCGGGTGCGCCAGCAGATCCCGGCATGCCATGCATACCTGGTAGTCCATTTGTGCCGGGATGGCCTCCAAAGCAAAATGGCTGAAACTGGGTTGAAAAAGAAGATGCAGAGCCACTTTTTATATGAAGAAAACGTTCTTAATCTCATTAACTTGTTACTTTTGTTTAACTTGATTACAGAGCCACTTCCTGAAAGAATTTCCTGTTAGATCAGAGTTGCGTGACCCGTTAATGATAACGGGGAGACTCGAGCATGACTTATCAGGTATTTGTTTTGTGATCGCTGTTTACATTTGCGATTTACATTTCTTCTGTCAATTGTACGGGCGTGTCACTTTATTGAGCCTTACATACCTTATTGAGGACGCAAAGAAAGAAGGCAAAGACACTCAGATATTTTGTTCAGAAAGGTTTAAGGTTGACCTTATATAGAAGCTCCCCAAAAGAAATATCAATAATTACAAAAACAAAATTTAATAGACTTTACAAGAAATATTTCATATATCAAATATATTTTTCTCCATGAGCTACTATTGTAAAATGATGAAATCACCTTGTCACGTGATTTGCTGCTACCGTTGTTGGCTGTCGTAGAGCACAAAGTGATAAACGATAAAATCAATACGTAAATCATGGCTGCCATCAGAGATCATTCACAGAAGATTTGCGTTCACTAATTTTTAACCTGTGAAAATAAGAACACCACGAAAGCGTAAATAATCTACGACGCTTAAATCATTCTCCATGAAAAAATCGAAAGATATTAGCCCAGTAGGCCTGTCGGCCTTGAATATTTTGTTCTTTTAACCAGGCCATTGCCACTTTTGCTAGCGTGTCTTAAAGTCTGGTATTAGGTACGATAACAAATGCTTTGCCTTGGTAAGACTTGTTCTTGAGTTTGCACTTACCTGTCAGGTTTGTCTACGAAACGAAATGATATTATTGCAAATTTAGCAGCTCTGTTTATGTGTTCTCTGCATAAGTGTCTGGTTCAAACAAGTTTATACACTGATATCGTGTAGGTATTGAAATAGGATGAATTACCCTATTGGTCATTTGAATCATGTTATTAGTTTTAACTGACTAATGATATGTTCTGTTACATAAATGTTTTATTTCTATCCGAGACAAGTTAAAACGAGTATACAAGTTACGTTTCCTTAACTAAGGGTTTCAAAATTGCTTGCTATTCTAAAAACCTGCTCTGTATTTTGCATATTTTTCGCATTGTCGGTTTTAAATCCGGCATTGATAAATAGTGTCTTGCTGAAAATGTAACTTTTGTGTAAATCCTGTAACATATCGGTGTTAAAAGCACCGTCAACGACAAACAGTTGCTAATTAGTCTGATATAAAATATATTCTCTGTTTCACTGTATTTTTTTGCTCTCTGTTAGTTTAATATTTACTACTTTCATAGATCTATTTATAACTACGCTCTAACATAAAACATAAAACAGTGCATGAATTCGTGAACTGAAGCATTCCCACCCTCTAAAATTAAAACATGACTCAGGTGCCGTTGTTGAAGAAAGATAACTTGACAGTTTGATTAAAAATTCAGCTTCCTCATGTGAATCAATGCACGATCATGACTCGTAAAAGCATTCTTCTTTTCAGCGAAAAAAGCCAGGTTTGTAAATTTTTGTTTCCTCGACAAATAGACGTTTCGCTTTCGTTTCGCTTTCAGTTATTCACTTGCATCTCCAATCATTCACAGATTTAGAGCGTTCTTACTCATCGAACGGCATCTGCTAAGTTGGTTGTTATTTTATTCGAAGCAAAATTAAATGATAATAAAAAAATGAAATAAATAAAAAAATCTAAAATGACGAAATCATTTTACACAACAGACAGACGTTTTGGATGAGAGAATTTAATTCACAGTTTCTTCGGTTTTGCTTCGTGGCAACTACAGTAGAAACCCACATGTAAAAACTGAGAATTTTCGAGGTCTGGCTGAACAGGTTCTTATATTTTAGGGTAGTTTTTCACAATTTAGGCTGATTAGATTTTTTAAAGGTTCCTATTTTTCAGAGGTTATCATAGTGTAACCATTGGCAGAAATATTGTACTACTATGGCAAACAGTCAAGGTCCACGAAGATCATCAATACATTTCAATCTATATTTTTTAAATAAGATATTAAAATTTTGAATCGTCTGTATTGCACGGTAGCTTTATGGAAAACATACTTCTAGCGAAATTCCAAACAAAATTCAAATAAAACGTATACACAATAACCTTTTGTCAAAAGTGTCTCATACAATTAGAGTCAAGAATTTTGACCATCAACATCAGAGTGATTTTTTTGTATAAGAACCTATTTTTCTTTGCCAGGCTGAACAAGTTCTTATAGTTATGGGTATTTAAATGCCAAATTTCAGCCTGTAGGTTCTTAAATCACTAGGTTCTTATATGCGGGTTTTTACTGTATGCCAAACGCTTGTTCGTCTTGAGTGTTTTCTGACGTGAGGGTCTTCTCTTATCAAACATTATTTTTTATTCCTAAAACACCACAGTACTTGAGGAATTGAATTCTTCATTTTGAGTTTGATCTCAGCATATTCCTAGAGCATTGTACTCAATTTGAATAAAATTCACATCCTTTGACCAATGTATATTTATCGACCTTTTGAGAGTTTTTACTGCAAGGAAACGTCGAAAAAGTTTTATCATCTTAAGAACTCACCTTTTGGTTTTTTGGTCTATGTGGTGGTAGCAATAAGCGGCGGCGTGTGCAAAGCTCCTAAACGATAAAAAAAAAAAGAAATAAAAATAAAAAGGAGTTAAAGTCTGTCTCTTATTATATGCGAAAAAAACAAAGACTTCAGGCTTCACTTTCATAAAAGCGAAAAAATATTTATGTATTAAAGAGCAAAGAAAATAGGAAGAAGTAAGTTACTAAGAGCTTCTTTTCATGGCCACTTTAATTTTCAATCGTTCCGAATATAAGTTGATTTTTTTTTTGTCATAAAAAAAGAAAAGAAATCAGTAACGGTCGAGACTGCATGCTGTGAAAGACCGGTATTAACTTTACAGTTTCTTAAGCTGGTCCAGTTTTAGTATATGCCTTTAGTTCTTGGATAAAGATATGTAGCAGTTATACCAATTTACATGTAGATTTACTGACGAACGAATAGTGAGGGTTGGGATTCGATAAGTACTAGGTTGTCCTTTGTGAACTGAAAAGTAGCAGTGATTCTAGTTCAGTTATTAGACTCACGTACATGGTAGAAATCTCGGCGTCCGCCTTCCTCATCATGTTATCAATTAAATGAGCATTAAAAAAAAAAAAAAAAAAAAAAAATAAAAAAAAAACAGGCAAATCGATATCAAATTATTTTGCTTGACAAATAATTTAAAAATGTTGCTTCAAATTATTTCCATTAGGCAATGATTTAAAAATGAATTAATATATTTCAAATTATTTTCCAAAATTTGTCTTGTAGTTGCGTGTGTTTCAAAAAATTGTTGAATCGAAAGCGCATGTTGGCATTTGCTACTTTAGCTAGAACGCGAATGTTATCTTACGCGTTTACGATAGTAAACGAAAATGAACCAAATATGGATAGTTTTACTTACCTAGAGAATTCCTTTTGACGCATGATTGTTTATCGTTGAATTCGAATCAGTTTCTTCTGCAAACATGAGCGACAGTTCAGAATCGTTTTTGCTAAAATCAACAAAAAATAGTATCATACTCACCACAACTAATTTTGAATAAGAACGGGAAGTCAGCAGCAAAATGGTAACTGGCAGAAATTTTATCTTAGTCTAAACCTCCTTACAAGGTTTATAGTTCACACAGAACGGGGAAGAAAATGTCTGAACACGTACGGCTTCTAAACTAAACTATTTTGAAATGTATAACGCTCTTTTCAAACACTCTTAATTTAAAGGTAATTTGCCTGCACTTTTAGCTTTGTCACCCTTTGCTGAAATAACCTTAGTATTTCGAAAAAAATTCCTGTAGTTTTTACGAAAAATTGTGTTGTGACTTGCGGAACGGTTCACAATAGGCTCATTCCTAATAGTCGGAAATTTGTGGGGCGCACTAGCCCCCAGTAAGACTAGGTATTTTGAAATTTCCAATGTTGGGCCGGGAAAATAGCATTTTTGAAAGCTACGTTTTGAGGTTGAACAGCCTAAAAAACAATGGGTTTTACAATCCCTTAGGGAATTCTGACTAACAATCAGACATAGAGTGGTTTTCGTTTGAGTGTCGTAAAACCAAAACCAAAGTAATTACTCTGGCCAATCACATAGGACACAGACAATACATTGAACCAATCAAAACTCGAAGTAATTACATGTGGCTGACGCAAAGCGCGGGAAAATGCATGCGAGCGCGTCACAATTGGCTTTGGTTTTACTTCTGATTGGATGAAAAGGTGGCGCGAATCTTTTAAGCCAATCGCATCGTGTAGAAAGTGCAAAACCAATTACTTTTCGACACTCAAATGAAAACCGCTCTATTCCTGGATATTTTACTAGAGTGTTTAATAAAGTTGTAAAGTGTCTACACAGGTAAAATTTGCCGGAAAACGTGCCTGCCCTGTATGCAGCGATTTTACGGTAATTTCAAGGAACCAAATTGGTTATTACAAATTAATTAACTGAACCAGAATAATCTTGGAAATCGCTTGGCTATTCTACGAAACATCAAATATTCACAGACGATTTATAAGAAACACTTGAGTCAAAATCATGTGAAATTTCTGGCGTTTTACAACAACGAATAATCGTTTAGAATCGGTTGATCAGTCTAATCAAGCGGCAAAACCAGTAAAACGTAACCAAATCGTTATAATACGGGAACAATAATGACGGGAGTCAGATCAATGTATTAGCGACCAAACCAAAAAAAACTTATAATAACCGAATCGACATAAATGTAAAAACATTTTGCAGTTCACTTGAAAAGGTAAGTAAATAAAATGATAATTCGAATTTCGGTTTACGCTATTTTGTTAAATAAAATTAGATCGGCAATGGTGATAAAGATATTTTCTCCAGTACCGGTAAAATTTATGTCAGTCGTCTTTTTTGATAGTATTAACCGCAATACTAGCCATGAAAAACAATTATTTGAT